AAATTACATATGGTTCAATTTGTATTGAGTTTAGTACAAATTGGTTTGGTTTGCTTTCAGTGCCTTTCACCCACCGAATAAAACATTGAACCTTTCCTCCTGGTTGGGAGATGTTTATAAGAATGAATTGATAAGATTTGAATATTTTGGTTTGATCTTCCTTTTCCTTAATAGGAGAAGATCTGGACAGGCTGGTGGCTGGTGTACCAGGCATGGAAGGTCTGCTTAGAGTACGCGACCTTCCCCATTTCTTTCGGGCCAAATCAGATCCCTGGGCAGAAAAGAACAGTGAGCTAGTGAAGGCCGAAATCCATTTTGTACCCAAATCCCATGGGCTAATACTGAACTCATTCGAAGAGCTAGATGGGCCGATTGTTTCGAATATCCGCAGCTACTGCCCCAAAACATATACGATCGGCCCAGTCCAACAACACCTGAAGACCAGACTCGCTGAACAACGGGAAGCTCTTGGCCCCCCTTCAACCAGTTTTTGGCAAGAAGACAGGACATGCATGGAGTGGCTTGACAGGCAACCGGATGAGTCAGTCTTGTACGTGAGCTTCGGCAGCCTAGCCACCTTAACCATGGCCCAGTTTTTGGAATTCTGGCATGCCTTGGTTGCCAGCGACGTCGGGTTCCTGTGGGTGGTCAGGCCTAATAGCTTAAAATCGACTTCAGCAGAAGATGATCAGCTCTCAAAAGGCAGTGCTGATTCTTCACAGCTTTTGAAAGAAACCATCGTCAATAATTCATGCATAGAGAATAACAATAAGTGGTATATAGTGAGTTGGGCTCCTCAAGAGGAGGTCTTACTTCACCCGGCCGTGGGCGGGTTCTTGACCCACAGCGGGTGGAACTCGACCTTGGAAAGCATCATTGCCGGAAAGCCGATGATCTGCTGGGCGTTGGGTGTGGACCAGATGGTCACCAGCAGGCTGGTTAGTCAGGTGTGGAAGATTGGGTTGGATATCAAAGATAGGTGTGATCGGGTTACCATTCAGAATGCGGTCCTTGAACTCATGGGAAGCCGGAGACAAGAGTTCAAGAAATCCATCCACCAACTTTCTAGGTTCGCCAAAGAAAGTGTCAATGCCGGAGGATCCTCCCACACTAGCCTTGACCATCTCATAAATGACATAAGAAATTTGACTTGCATTAAGCTCACAAAAAACAACGAGTCTTAGAACGTCTCAATAGAAGTTATTTTAGATGTAAAGCCTATAATTCATCCGTATAATGAATTTTTCATATGACTTCGATAGCGTATTTGTTTGGTGTTCATATGATGGTAATGTAAAGCCCATTAGCGTATTTTTCATAATGACGGTATCACCATGTGGTTGTGATACCATCAGAAATTGGTGTAGATGTCTTAATTCGAATCACTTCCAAATCAAAATGTGCATTAATATTGATGAATATACTACTATAAAGAAATTAGAGCGATAGCAATACTTTTGGCAGCTAGATTGAACTAAATAGTGACTAAAAGATTGTGTAAATTATAGCAAAATTAATTGTGATTATAGTTACTATAAATATACTATCGTATATTCATAGTCATTGCAAATGTACAATAGTGATGGAGTACATGTGTTGGACCCATGACCCACACATCCTTGAGATAAGACTCCCAACATGCCCGCAACCCAATCATGGAAGAGGTGCTTTACCGGTGGGCGTAGCTCAATTGGTAGATAGGGGGTGCCACTAGGGGTAAGTCTTGGATTCGAATCCCAGCAACTACGATGAGAGAGGCTACTATGCTAAAAATGCTTAGGGCCTCTGCAATATGAGGACCAGAGCCTCACTCTCTATCTGTCAGCTTGTGATTAAAGTCCAATTTACATCTTCCCATCTAACTGTCCGGTCGATGTTGGGGGCCCGCGGGGATGGAATCAAATGTTGATTCCTTAAAAAATTATAAACCATTTTTCAAGAGAAATCCACAATGTATTGATCAATAGATCATTTGCCAAATGATTTACAATGAATTTGGGAAAACTAAAAACTCGTCATTATAGCCTCACTTGGTAGAGTCACTCGATTAGCGAACTGTCTACACTAGTTAATGCTCTAATTAACAGTTTCATGAATAGTTGGTTTGACGTTTTCTTCCAACATCTTCATACATATGAGCTTCCCAACCCCCCATTATTTCTTGGGAAAAACAACAAAACAACATATGTTTCGATCACCATCTTACTCAGGTCATTGTATCTAGCCAACATTGAGGCCTGAGGCCTCTCTAATTCCCTAGCATCTTTCGTAGTGTGGTCGTGTGGATTTCATGTAAACAGCTTAGACATTTGGTAGTGTTCATGAGTGCTTGTATACTACTCTATGCTACTGCTTAGAGTGTGCTACTTGAAAAAAAAAAAAGTCCGACTTTTGAGTGATTGTTTCCTCATTCGGGATAGGTTATTTACTAAATGAAGCACATTTACATACCCATGCCATATGAACATGATGTGATAGAGGCGTGTTGAAAAACATGAATGTGAAAGATTTCTCGATACGTGTTTTAGTCGTTCACATATCTTTTCTCTAAGTGGTCACCAATAAAAGATATGTTGCGAGAACTAAATATTTTTACTTGTCTTTGACATGTGTACTAGTCATTCTACATTGAATTTAGTAAAATTTGGTTGGCCTTACGCGCTTATATGTCAATTTGGTTTTCCCTTGCTCGAGAACGAGCAACTGTTTGGGCTCGAAAGAATTATTAGTTGTGAAATGGCTTAGAGCATCTCTAATGGTAAAATATAATGTGCACGGTGGACACGTGGTATGAGAAATAGCCACATAAATATTAATAAATAATTTCTTTCTCTCCTTATTTGAATGATTTTATACAGTTTTGGTAAGTTTTCTTCCATAATGTCAAGGAGACCGTCTAGATGTTGACATTGCTGTTGACATTGCAGGGAAAAACTTACCGAAATTGTATAAAATCATTCAAATCAAGAGAGAAATAATTTATTTGCTAAAATTTATGTGGCTATAACTCATGCCACATGTGCACCATGCATTATGGCATTGGAGATGCTCTTGGTATTCAAGCTTTTGTTTGTTGACAATGAAAGTTATGTCTTCAAAGTCTTCCAATTTTGTCCCTTTATCACTTGTCACATGTCTACATTTCTTTAATAATTAACACCGCTTCACTGCTAGTTTAATTATGAAAAAATTACATCAATATAACTGATTTAAACTCCACTAACAAAAGTATGACTATTTATCCTATTTTTACTCTCATGTTGCCGTATGAGTTCCTCATCAGGGTCATGCTCCTCTCCATTTCCTTCTCTCCATTTACTCTCGTCATTTCCTTTTCACTCTATCTGTCTCCTTAAAAAATAATTAAACATAATCTTTTATTTTTCTCTACCCCACCATTTTCCCACCTCTCTCTATCTCTCTCACAATGGAGAGTTTCAGTCAATGGAGAGGAGCAAAATTCTCCTCTCCTCATCAATAGTCATTTTTTGAAACCCCAAATACTTTTGGTAATATTCATGTTAAAAACTCGTTCGGATATAAATGCAACATAGGGCTGGGCGCAGGGACCAAGGAATACAGATAAAGTAAATGTTATCCGGTTCTACCCTTTACCCATCTTCTGTCCATCTTCTTTTTACTTTCTTCTACACCTCTCGATCTAAAGACAACACACTATCACACCTCTTCATCTAGATTTTCAGTCTCCTAAGACCCTTTTGATTCTTCATTCCGATACTTCGTTATTGTCAATTTGTAATTCGTCAATTTTATCCACAATCGAGTTCATCCGAGGTTGGTCTCTCCGAAATTCTAATTTTTTAGCATATCAGCTGGGGGAATCATGAGAAGCGCGGATGGATTCAATAGATTTAGCTCTAGGATTTTCTACGGATGTAAAATTAAAAAAATACAGAGTAGTTGGAAAGGAAATGGTAGAAAGAAAGTAATGGAAGGAGGATGACTGAAATGTAAGTTGAAACAAAAAAGTGGAAATAAGATTAAAGAATATGGCATAAAGAAAGAATGGAATGAAAAAGATGGATGACCATGGAAGAGGAGTCTGGGTGACAGAACTAATTTAAGAAAGTGAAGCAGTACATGAGAAAGATGAAGGGCTGGTAGCCTGGCACGACGTGGATATTTAATTTGGGGTAAGAATACATCACATGGGTGCAAAGGGTATTCTAGTCTTTAGTGGTTGTCATTTTAACCTAAAAAGGAAACGTTGCATTTATATTGAAACTTCCAAAAAAAGAAAGTGTTGCATTATTTAAGAATGGAGGAAGTATAACCTATCTTGACTTTATGAATCACAACTGAGGAAAATTACAAATTACCGGAAAAAGACTTTGTTATTTCATGTTTTGGTCATACTATACGTTTGTAAGCAATTCCCTCATTTGTGCCCCTACAAATTATATTGTTCCAATTTTACACATGATAGAACCTTGTGATTATTGTTTGTTAATAGTATTTCTAACGAAGTAAAAGAAAACTAGAAAAGGCTAGATGCACCGTGGACATTTTTTATGTATATTTTTTCCAAAAATTCTTTAGGTACCTCAAATTGTACTCCAATTTGTCCCCACCTCAAATTGCCTGTGTACACAGGCAATTCGTTTGAAAGAGAGCAGAACTTTCTACCCAAATGTCTGTGTACATAGACGGTGTACACTTTGGGGTACAAATTGGGGTACCCCAAGCAACTCTCTTGACTTTTTCTTGGGTATATTCCTATATGCTTGTGTAGACAAACCGTTCATTTGCAAAAAGTATACATTATTTTTGTGTACAAAAAGAAAGTTGCTCTGAAAAGCAGAATTACGGCGTCCGAGGTTGGGTAAGGGAGTGAAGGGATTTTTTAGTTGGGGGTATTTGGTCAAAAAACTCACGAGTTGAAAAGAACAGTAGTCAGTAGCCCCCTTTCACTGTGTCCTTTTTCTTTCTTAGTTTTATTTATGCTTTTTGTAAAATCTATCTATCAACACAGATACAATCTAGCTACTTGTACTTTTGCGTCTCAAAAGCCAAAGATTCATTATTCGCATTGGTAACTGCCCGCCCGGCCTCCAAAGTCCAAACCTCCGTCTCTAACACTCTCTGTATCTTCAATGGATATTCCGGCGGCGGCGGAGACGACTTTGACTGATGATGTCCCTCCTCCTCATCCCCATCCCCACGTACTGATTTTCCCGTTACCCCTTCAAGGCCCGGTCAACTCCATGCTCAAACTCGCCGAAATACTCTGCCTCCGTCACATCCGCGTCACCTTCCTCAACACCCTCTACGTCCACCGCCGCCTCCTCCGCTTCACCGACGTCGAGCCCCGTTTCGCCAAGTACCCCCCTCTTCCGCTTCGCCACCGTCCCCGACGGCCTGCCGGAGGACAGCCCCAGGACCGCAGATCAAATCCTGGAACTCATCCAGAGCATCGAGGAAACCACCAGCCCACTCTTCCGGAACATGGTCCTCGCCGCCGGCGCTTCGGATCACCCGGTGACGTGTCTGGTGGTGGACGGCATATTTTCGTTCGCCGTTGACGTGGCGGAGGATGCCGGCGTGCAGCTTCTGTATTTCGATACCATTAGTCCTTGTGGCCTTTGGAGTTATATGTGTGTCCCCAAGCTCATTGAGGCCGGAGAGCTTCCATTTCCAGGTTGGTCCTCCGATCCTCTTTTCTTTCCCCTCTCTATTTACTCAAAAACTTTTCTTAATTAATTAATGACAATCATCTTTGATCAAAGTGACAAATATTTTTTGCGACAACAAAAAAGGAAAATTTGACAAAATCCAATAGAGGTAATACTTATAAAGATGAAATGTAAATTCACTTTTTGATTGATGAAATATTACTTTATCAATCATGTACATTCACTTTTTGAATGATTGCAAATTTCCTTAGTTAATGAAATAGAGGTAATACTTATAAAGATGAAATGTTGCTTAAAATTTTCATCAAAATTAATAAATGTTTGTCACACAAAATTGTTACCATAAAATGTATGTGACCCTATCTATATTAGGGAAGTCCACACATTTTGTTGAGCATGACTGGACGTCCAGTGTCCACTCTATCTATTTACTTTTTTTGTCAAATTGTGACACATACTAATGTCTCCTAATCATATGTTATCCTAATGTTTTTATAAAGCTACTCTTTATATGTATATTCTCTTTTCCTTCATCTCTCTAGGTTCTTGACCAAAATTCCAAAAAAAGTAGGAATACGAAAGACAGTAATTTAAAATGTTTGAAGAAAGGATCATATAGTAAACAGTATGACTAAGTAATAAAAAGATGGAACCTGGAAAGAAAATACTCCTTCATCCCATTTATATTGTCTCAGCTCCTATTTACTTGATCAACACAAATCACTCTTAATTTCTTACTTTATATATAATAAATTTATCAAATTTGATTCAGGTTTTTGTGACTTTGTAAAGCTTTAAATGTAGTTTCTAAATATGTAATTTTTTTCCTAAAAATAATTTGAGTGCGGACATGGATTTGTTTGTTTTATCGTCAGTCAAATATCGTAAACCGTAAAGAAAGAATATAAATGGGATGGAGGTACTAAGAAAATACAGTTCAAACTGGAAAGAGAATATAAGAAGTAATGAATAAGTTGACAAAATAGAAATAAGACAAATAATAATTATTGAATTTCCAAATGACAAAAGAGACAAATTAAATCACGGATGGTGTATGAAATTTGTTATTTTTTTCTACATCTAATACTGGAGTACATATAACTCCATTCCCAAAAAAAATTTCTACTTTGGGACCACTGATTTTTGTTCTGATTGATATAGATTTTTTATAGACGCTAATCAAACCAAGAGATATCGACAATGAGCATGTAATGGTTTACATGTGACACCTTATCATGAGGGCCCCCAACACTGATCGGACGGCACAATGGGATGATGTAAATTGGACTATAATCACAATCACGATCATTTTTAAGAGGTTAATTAGGTTCTCCGGAACAGGGCCCCTGGATTTATGGGGTCACAAATTTTAAAAATGTATTAGTATTATATATTAATATATTTATAATAATCGGTAAAATACAATTAGTAAGGAAGAAAAATATAGTTCTATTATTATTTTCATTTGTCCTTTAGTTCTCATTTACTTAAATTGCTTGAATAATGAGGTGTGTTACTTTAAATAAAGAATTAATTAAGTTTTAGATAAAAAAAATTATTATATTATTAAATAAGTATTCAATTAATTTAAGTATAAGTATTTGAATTGAATTTTTTTTAATATTTTATATTAAAGTGGGGCCCCAATTTTACATTTGAAACCGGGGCCTCCAAATTCATTAGACGGTCCTGATCACAATCTGACAGATAGAGAGTGGGGTTCCGTCCTCGGTACTTGCAGAAGCCCTATGCATTTTAACATAGTAACCTCTCATCGCAGTTGTCGGGATTCGAACCCAGGACCTAACCCTTGTGGCACTCCCTCGCTACCAGTTGAGCTACGTCCACCGGTGTACATAAAATGTATATAAGCATCTACTTGGTATAATATTACCATGTTCTTCCCGTATGATGTTTTAACTTCACACATAAAGTAGGAAAAAAGAATTGTATGATTGAAATTGTGTAGGACAATAGAAGTGAAATTATATACATGAACATCCTATACTTCTTCATAAAACGAAAATAACTTAGATGGAAGAGAACACTTTTTTTAAATGTGAAGGAATACTCTTTTTTTAAAGGAGGGGAGGGAATACTTAAAAAGTGTAAATTAAATTTGGAGTTATTACCTAAGAAGGCGAGGTTGTATTAGACTTGGTTAAATGTGAAATGATCAAACTATCACAAACCAAATTTAAACAGATCCGTTTAGATCATATTAATAGATCATATGAAAAAACAAGATCACACTTGAAACTTTTAACAAGATCATATGAATTTAAGAACTTAAGATTGCTTACTTTTTTCCTCATTAAGCCTTATCTAAAGAACAATTCTCACCGGAATTGGACGCTATATGTGTGTGATAGTTCTAAACTTCTAATGAGCATTGTGTAAAATGAGAATTTGAATCACATACACATTAATTACACCGGAGATAATGTATGTGTCCTAGAACCTTCTCTAGATATATACTGCATACACATATTCTCTAAATTAGATATTTATAAAAAAATGTCATATTTACCAGTTTTTACAATATCAGTTCACTCTGGAAGTTTTATCTTTTGAGACGCTTAAGGCTGGTTGATACTACATCCGCCTTAAGCGTTTTGGAAAGATGAAACTTCCAGAGTAGACTGATATTGTGAAAACGGGTAAAAAAATGTCATTTATTACTCTCAATTTGTATTAAAGTTCAATTTAGATCTTGAGAGTGAGGTGTCACCATTAGGATGTAACTTGATAAAACATGGGTAACCCGCATGGGTAGCTCAGTTGGTTGAGTGGTGGGAAATTTGGAAAAATGACCAAGGTTCGAATTCCCGCAGCGGCCGAGTGGAGGTCACAGAATCTGAAATAAGGTTGGACCTCTGGTGCGCACGGGTGCATGGGCCTACTGCCACTCTACTGACTGAGTCACCGTGACTTACATCGTCCCAAAAGTTTTGTGGGGGACTTGGGGGTTGGCGATTCAACCTTTCTTGGAACAATAAAACATGGGTAATGCGTCCGGAAATGGTTCAAGAATTCAAGACAAGACTCGGACCTTGATTAAGAATCTTTGTCATTGTCATTATTCGATTATAAAATTACAATTTATTTGGATTGAAAGTCGGACATAAAAGCATTTTGTACTCTTAAAAATTTAACTCTCCTGACCAGTTTTGGCACTTCCGATAAGTTGTGATTGGCCGTAAAGTTTTGCTCTTTTATAGGGAGTGGTTAACTGTCCAAGCACAACAGAGTTGGCAATAGGTGATGTGACTAGCTAGATATTCCTGCTGATTCTCTTAGGCTTTGTTTGCAACCACTTGTGCTTAAATAAAAGCACTTTTTGGGAAAAAGTGATTAGTAGTAAAAGTTGGTAGTGTTTGATAAAATAAGTGTTTTTTGTGTAATAGAAAAAGTAAAAAGTAGATTCTACACGAAAATCGAGATAGTAAAAGTTAGTAGTGTTTGGTAAAATAAGTGTTTTTTTCTTAAAAAAAAACTAAAAACACTTCTAAATAGAGTTTGCAAACAGAGCCTTAATTCAGGACATTTTGAATTTCTTAACCAAAATCAAACTACTCTCTCCCTCCCTCAATTTACTTCCGTAGTACTCCCTCTGCCTCTAATAATCTTGTCAAGTTTGATCGACATGAACATTAATAAAGTAAAAACTGTGCGGTTGAGGTTTGTGTAGAGGAGAGAAAATTAGCTGGAATCACAAATTCCTGAGGAATACGAATCAAACCGAATGGTATTGAAAATCAATAAAAATCTAAATGAAGCTCATATACCTACCCCTAAGGCTATCCGCAATGGGGAGGTGCGAATTCACAAATGTAAGGTTTTCGCTCAAAATATGACGCAACCCAAGCCATTTTTGTATTAGAGGGCTCTAGAGTAGGTTGGGGAAACCCATGGGAGGGGAGTAAGACCCTTGTTCACTCCAAGAGACAGGATTTGGCAGCAGGAATTGATGAGCGTTTAAACCAAAAATCTCAATTTATTTTAACTATCACAACTTTTTAATTTGTAATTTGATTTTTATAAAAAATATATCAAAACTCATAATTTTTTATGTTCTTTCAAATGACACCAATTTTCTATATATAAATCTTTAAAAAAATATGAAATTTCAATTATTTGAAATTTCACGCACAACATTTTTCTTAAATATATTTGAAAGCTAAAATTTAGATACAATGTTTTTTTTACATTTTTTCTATAAGTTTTTTGTAAAATAGGTCTGAAGTTTTAAGAAAAAATTGAACTCCAAATTTATTTATTTTTGCATCGAAATGTTTTACTTTTGAAATTATAATTATTCATGAAAAAGAATTGGCAAAAGAATAATGTATAATAATAAAAGTAAGGAATTCATTGAAAAAAATAAGTTCTCAGTGAATATATTGACGGTGCTGGATTGCAGAGAAAAATTGAATAGATCGAGTGAATACGTGTAAACTAGGGGAGATTAGATTTATTGACGGATTGGTTTGCGGTTAGCCTAAAAAAACTACCCTCTCCGTCCCAATATAAAAGGCACATATTCCTTTTAAGGTCGTCCCAATATAAATGGTACATTTCCCTTTTTGGCAAACAAAACAATGCAAACAGTGTCCAACAATGCCAAATACTGTCTAAACAGTGCTAAATAGTGTCCAAACAGTTGCAAACAGTGTTCCTCCTAAAAAAAATCAAGCATTCAAGCCCAGTTGGTTGTGAGATTACCGTGCCTAGTGAGAGGTCTCGAGTTTGAAATCCGCTAGGCACATAAGGGTTCGAAACTCAATGAAGTGAGTTTCAGCCCTGATTATTAAAGGCCCCCCAGCCCCCCTCCCCAAACCCGCTGGAGTATAAAAAAATGTCCCTCCTAAAAATGTTTGAAAAAACAAATGTGTTCTTTATATTGAGACGGAGAGAGTATGATTGCTTTGTTGCACGGAAACGCGAAAATCATAAGGAAATAGGAAACGAGAAACATCAACTTTTGCTCAAAAAGGGTTTATTTGAAGAATTGAAGAGTTTGTAAAGAGTTTCCGAAACGGGAAACGTGCCATTTCCGGAGAGTTTCTGTGCTACCTAAAATTACTAGGTACTCCGTATTAAATAAATAATTCTGAAAATAGTCCGAAAGACTATTTTGATATGCAAAAATATCTAAGGTTGGAAAGTGTCTTAGGAAATACTACCTCCGTCCCACTAAGATTGGGACGGAAGAAGGTGGCACGATTATTAAGAAAAGTGGGTTTGTGTGGTTGATATTAAATTGATAAAGTAAGAATAAAGTAAGAATGATTTAGAGCCACACAATCTTTACCAAATTTGGTATGGGACAATCTTAGTGGGACTTCCCGAAAAGGTAAAATGGGACAATCTTAGCGGGACGGAGGGAGTACGTAGTAGCACCTCCAAGCTCACATGCGCATGATAGATTCATTTATCAAATGAAATGGAATGGCCATATTAATTACGGAGTAAAAAAAAATAGAGGTAGTATTATTTGTACCTTGGTAATACCTTTTGTTGAAAAGATAAGGCTCTGCTGTTTGCCTGGAAAAAGTACGCTGGAATAGTCCCAAAAATAGTTGTCATAAAAATTTGTGGTCCCATAAATGATTTTTTTAATCTTTGTTTTTAAGAGGTTCTGGTCCAAGTTCGGGTGCGAAATTTCGATGCACCAAACATTCATGATGAATAAATGATCTTTCTCACATTTTTATTACGTACAAAATTCCAGACTATTTTCTTCATTGGTGAAAATATTTTTTAGTCTTCTTTTTTTTGTATTTTTTATACGGGTAAAGGAGATGGCTGGAGGAACCAAAGTTAAATAGGGCTGAAATTGCTTCCAATAAGTTTCGAACTTGGGACCTCCTACATGAATAAATGAATCAACGAGCAGTGAATTGGATGAATTGGACCGCTTCATAATCATTCTCAATTTCTCATTTCAATAATTTTGAAACAATAGAAAAATAGTCATCACTGAAATTTTACCTTTTGACAATGGCTTCTTCCTAGACAAAAAAACTCAGTCTTTTAAAGCTTTATCAACTTTGACTTTTTAATTTAATGGTATTTAAGATTGGACCATAATTTTGATTTGTATAATATCGTAGAAGTTATAAATTTTATACTTCTATGAAAGTACTTTTAACAAAAAAATATTTTCATATTATTTTTATATTATAAATAAATAACTTCATATAAAAATATATAATTGTTCAGAATTGAAAATGATTAACCAAAATATTCAAAGATGACAAAGTCTTAATGGACGGGGAGTAATAATTCCGTCAAAGAGCTTAATTGTAATGGGAAATGTAAACTATCACAGAGTATTTTTTGACGTACTATTAAGGGTAGCTTTCAAAATATGAGTGAAATAACGCAAAATTTCTAAAATTCCATGACAGTTCCATGATAGTTAACATTTATAACATCACGGTTGATGATTTCATTATAGGGTATTATATACTAATATATTCGTGAAAATTATTTTTCAAAGTATTGTTGAATTACTTTATTTAACTATTATTTAAATAATTGTGCTCTTTTTTATTCAAATAATTGTGTGAATTTAAAGAAGTAAAATTTGAATGTTTGAGATTTGTGGAGAGGTGAGAGAAATGAAATTAGTCACGAACAAAAAAGAAAAGTTGACAAAATCAAGTAAGATGGAAAAAGTATTTTATTATGAGTATGTGTAATAATAAGATAAGTTGATTCAATAATTGTTTGAGAAAGTTTGTCATATAAGAATAAAAGTCTGAAACATAAACAAAATGCACATATAGACTAGGGTAGTTTAAAACATATGAAAACATAAACAATAAACATATTCAAATAATGCTTTATTTGAATATACATCATTGTTTTCTTCATGACTTATTTCCTCCTAACAGGAGACATTTTATACTTTTAATAGGATCATATAAGTCTTATTTCAGAAATAAAGCATATATAAAATGTTTTTACTTGGACTGTTTTCTATCCGAGACCAGACAGATCAAACCAGTTCAGACCAGGTCATACAAGACTTGGATAGTTATAAAATACATAGAGTTCAGACATCTAGCAGGCCATACCAGGTCAGATCAGACCAGCAAATTTCAGTCTAAGTAAAAACTTCTGTTGTTTTATTTTGCACATTTTGTCTAAATTTTAGTCCTGTTTAAAGCCATTTTTAAAATGGTTTATGTATGCTGCAGGAAGTGATTTGGACTCCCCCATTAGGAGTGCGCCGGGATTTGACGGCATCATACGCCGCCGAGACCTGCCCAACTTCTGTCGAGCCGAAAACATCCACGATCCCACCATCCAACTTGTTCTCAAGGAAGACCAACATCTTCCCAAAGCCCAAGGCCTCATCTTCAACACTTTTGACCACCTCGATGGGCCCGTCATCTCTCATTTTCGAGCTGCGTGCCCCAACATCTATGCTGTCGGCCCGCTCCACTCTCACCTAAGGGCTCGACTGCAGTCCTCCTTGCCATCCATCAGCAACAGCCTATGGGAGGAGGACATGAGTTGCATGGATTGGCTCGACCGGCAGCCGGAGCGATCCGTCGTCTACGTGAGCATCGGAAGCTTGGCCATTATTAGCAGAGACCAGCTCATGGAACTTTGGCACGGGCTGGTCAATAGCGGGTCACGATTCCTCTGGGTTCAAAGGCCCGGGTCTGTGACCCCATGTGCTTCGGGGTCATGCAATGATGCCCCCGAGGGTTTGGTAGAGGAGACAAAGGAGAAGGGTTGCATCGTGCAGTGGGCCCCACAAGAGCGGGTGTTGGGCCACCCGTCTGTGGGCGGGTTTCTCACCCACAGCGGGTGGAACTCTACGCTGGAGAGCATAGTTGAGGGGGTGCCCATGATGTGCTGGCCCTACTTTGTGGACCAGCAGGTGAACAGCAGATTCGTGCAGGAGGTGTGGCGGTTAGGGGTGGACATGAAGGACGTGTATGATAGGGGAAGCATTGAACGGATGATTCGAGAGGTTATGGAGGATAGAAAAGAGGAGTTCTTGAAAAGGGCAAGTGAAATGGCTGCATTAGCCCGCCAAAGTGTGGAACAAAGTGGCACTTCATACAGAGATATGGACCGTCTCATTGAGGATATTAGGCTGATGACAAGGAAATGATGAAGATTATTGGAGCAACGGAGTCTCCTCATTGCATTATATTGCTAAAAAAAATCCAATTTGTGTCCTGTCACCTACACTTTCTATTACAAATTCATTTAGTGTTATTATTATGTTATTATTGTTGTTGTTTGTCATTCCGATTCATGCATGTTTTCCCATCTTCATTATGGTATCTACAAAATATATTTTCAATATAAGATAATTACGATAGCAATTATATTGTATATGACTATATGCTACGGAGTATTAATTTTTTCTCATTGAATGACCCTAAAACTCTTGTTTGTATAATACTACGTACTAAAGAGAATATTGATAACCCGCTTTCGCGGCGTTGTAGTAAAACGGAGTTTAACCTTCCGGATGGAAAAGTTTATCCCCGAGTATCGTGTTTCTGAGGAGTGGCGGAGGGAAGTGTTGGTTTTAATATCGGTCATCGGTTAGTACGAGTCGTTGCAAGCTTTCTCAAACGATTAATTGTGATAATGATTAAGTAAATAAAATTAAACAACAAAAGTAGTAACAGAGAATTTAATTAAATGACATTAAGGAGTAAACTAAAACTAGTGAACATGCCAAATAACTTGAGAGAGAGAATTATAACTAATTAAAATATTAAACTAGAAAACATGTGGATGAGTAAAGTTTCGAGAATAAAATACTTAAAGGTAAATTCAATGTGACTAGTAACGAAAAATTTAACTAATTAAAAGTGGGGTCTAGATTTGAAATTAAGGATCTTGGGTGTCTTTGAATTATGAACAAATTTGGGAAAATTTCTCCAATTTAAGAATAGTGATATACTAATTCTCATAGACAAGAACTTGATTTTAATTCCCTAACATGTCCTATTTCTAGGCTTAGTTTAGGGTGTGTGAGATGTGAGCTAAATTAATTCCAAACTCATAGACAAGAAAGAATTAATCTTCCAAAAATTCACAAGTGAAGTGATCAATTTCACAAATTACTCTTTCAATTTCATCTCAAACAACTAGTCCTAAAAACTAGAAAATTTTCCCAAATTCAATTCAATATTCAAGAACACCCATTAACCTTAATTTTATCCAAATCCAAACCCCATGGAGAATTACCCTAGCATATTTATCAAGAAATTAAGACAATTAACTAAAGAGCTAGAGTAATATGTTGATATAGTTGAGCAGTAATTCAACATCAGTAACAAATGCAATTGTCCAAGTAAATAGCAATTCTGAATACGAAATACTCCAGGAATTAGACTTAAAGTTTATTAAAGTAAGAATCTAAGCATGAAATAGTTAAGATTGAAACTGAAAGATGATGAAATAAACCGAAAATTCAGTAGCAGGCGTTCTCCTTTTCCCTTCTGCTCGCAGGTTTCATCTCTGCGGATCAGCTCCTTCTCTCCATGCCCAGCAAACTATTTGCTACTTGAGCTACTGCCGACTAATTTCTTCAGTTGTTGCCGATCCAGAATTGACTCCCAGGCTGAATGATTGCTGGTGTGTATTCTCCCGTTCTTGCTGCTAAGTGCAGCTTCCTTCCGACCCAGAGCTACTTGCCGCTTAATGATTGCGGGTGTGAATTGATAGCTCAATCCTTTGCCTCCTTCCTTCATATGCTGCTGGCCGTTCCTTTCTTTGTTTCTTCCTTTTATTTGGCCGCTGAAAGGAGTGAGAGCCATGTGCTTTTTGTTGATTGCTCCCTGCCTGTTCTTTTCTTTCTTTTCAACGCAGCTGGGCTGCAATTATTTTTGACTTCTTCTTTTTTTGTTTTCTTTTATTTTCTTTATTTTGTTTGTTTTTCTTTTTCTTCACGCAGCTTAGCTGCATTTCTATTTTTCTTTTGATTAATGTACTTGAAAGATAACTTAATGAAATATAGTAAAATGCTAAATTTGACAAATCACCCCCAAAATAACCAAAGTACAAATAAGTGAAAAAAACACAAAATCAATCCAAACACTTTAATAAATCAAAAATTACAAAAAAAAAAACACAAACTTCAACACTAATTTCGAACATGAACATATATGCAACAAAAACGCAGAAAAGTGCTTCAATTTGCCCCGAGTTTAACAAGAAACACTATTAAAAGTGAGTGAAAACATATGAACAAATCAGACTTATCAAATGTATATTTTATTTGGGGTTTTTTACAAGAATATTACTAAAATAAAACATATTTACATAAATATGACTATTCATTACTACAATGTGTTGTTGTGGTAACTTAAGTTCAAAACTTGAACATGAATTACTATAATTTCATTACTACTCTAGTCATTAATCATATTTTTGTAAATCATCTTTATTTTGGTGATATTTATGTAATTATATCATTTATTTATGATTTATTTCTATTCATGGAATAACCATTTCATTATGTATATGTTTATTTAGTTTTAGGGTACCACCATAATATCATAAAACAATAAGAAATGGGGCGTGTGGTACCATTAAAATAGGTTGAATAAGTTTAATTTGGTGAAATTTAAGAAATTCTAATTGAATTAGTTGAATCTGCTGAATTATGAAAAACATTATATTTCAAAAATACTACGTATATTTTATTAGTAAAATTAAGAAAAAAATACATAAAAAATTTAATGTGATTGCCTCGGTTCAGGATCATCCTGCTTGTAGTGCGCCTCCTGCTATTGATAGTAACATGGTTACCTCGGTTCAGACCACTGATGTTTTTAGTGTACCTTTTGGAGCTCCTATTAATCCTGATAATAATGTAATTCACTCTGTGGATGCACTGGTTACCCCTCCGTTTGTTGCTCAGGTTTTGACACCAGTTGTTGCACCTGCCCATTGTGCAAAACCTATTAATGACCCGAAATCTGCCCCTGCGGCATTAAATTTTACAGAATGCACCATGAGCAACCAAGCTCCGGTTACCAACAATACTTCTGCTAACATTGAAGCCTTCGATCCTAATGTTGAAGTTGAGATAATTCTTGATGTGTGTACTTCTGGCAACACTGCCAGTGAAGGAATGTTTGATGCTGAGTTAATTGCCCCTATGATTTTTGAGGTTCCTGTGGATTCACAGGTTTACACACCCGCACATAACCAGGTTCCTAGGTCTGTTGCTTTGGCACGGATGCTGATGAACCCCCGGTGGCTACCTGTAAAAAGGCGGTAATCGAGGGAGTTCAAACTACACGTGCAAGTCCTGACTTTGGAATCCCGAATGATGCTAAATTTGGAAATGAAGAACAACATCTTGATCCATCTTTAGCAAATAACACTGCTGATACTACACTTGATCCACCCTGGTCCAATGATGATATATCTGAGTACACCCCCCCCCCCCTTATTACTAACTTTTCTACTCCAGGTCATCCACATTTACCACCACGGGTAGACCTAGACGGCATTACTCCGGTGAAGGCAAAGAAATATAGTGCAATGCCCCCAAACGGATCTCCGGAAGCCAAACAACTATTCTACGAGGTGGGATACACATCACACCCGATGATCACAAGAAGTCAATCCAGACGCCCACAAAATGAAGATGACTATTACATTTACCCTGTTGATGCGAGGCTGGACTCTCCACACAAACTTGCTACGACACTCACACGATACAGGATTTCTAAACCGGAAGCAAAAACCTACCAACCCTATCTCTGAAAGGCTATTCAATTCCATAACAGATATAACATATCCATTTCAGCTTCGGTCGGGCTACCTTAAAAAAACTGCAACTCTTAAACCCCTGTTTTTTTTCCGACTTTTGACTGTATGCTTTTTCTTATACCGTTTCTTAAATTCTCTTGTAATCTACTTATTATTAATAAATTTGGGTAGTGTTCCCCGGCATTCCCGCCACCACGTGTGGTTATTTCCGGAAAAAAGAGGTGTTCTATATTAACTTGAGCCAATTCAGACAAAAAAGTACATTATTTTAATCTTACTTATTTAGTTATTAATCAATTCATAACGTGAAAAAGTTGTCGCCACTGCCAGATCTGTTGCAATCGTTACCCGCTCGATATGCAAAGCCCTTATTGTAATAATATACCTAGTCAGGGTTATTTGACATTTATTTCTCTTATAATAAATATATTTGTCAGTGCTTATAAAAGGATAATATATTTCATTATTTCACATGCTCTCAAAAGTTCAGATATAATTTTTTATTTTGGCACCTTCCACCCTAATCTTCCGCCGCAGCCGCCGTCATGCCATTCGACTTAGCTACCTCCTTCTTTACAACGACGGCGGCCACATCCACTGTGGCGCAGACAAGTGTTGCCTCATCTTGTACCTTGTCTAATGTTGCCGTTACTTCCTTCGTCTCTACTGTTGTGGAGATGATCTCCAACAAGTCCGACGCCGCTCGATTCACAGTGACGCAGCCGGTCCGGTCGTCCATGGGGTCCCCACTCCTGGTCTCTTATTCTCCGGGTAGGACGTCCACTAGTGCTTACAACCAATGTTCTAAAAGGCGCTAGGCGCTAGTTGGGCGCCAGCCCAGCGCCTAGTGCCTAGGCGGCTAGGCGGGCGCCTAGTCGGGCACTAATCGGAGACAAAGAAATTGCATTTTTATCTATATTTTTGCATATATATGATAAGTAATATTATATTTTTGTGTGTATAAAATACATATATACATATACATTAACAAACATGAATGATAGAATTATCACATTCAACCATAAAAAAAGAATAATCACATTCAATCATACGTAGTATATGATAACTAATCAGTTAACTTCATTATGTTATAAATATAAATAATGATGAAATTTAGGTATATATAGAAACATATATAGTGTTATCTTAATTTACAACTTCATTTCTTTATATCCATAGCTAAAGCTAAAGTATGTATACCACTCAGAAAATTAAAATTAAAAAATAAAGTAATGTTTGGCGAATCTAGATGGCCTAGGCCGCCGATTAGGCGCTCTAGGCGGGCAACTAGGCGCCATAGGCGGCCGACTAATTCACCTAGACGGCAAACCAATTAGTCGGAGCGCCTAGATGAAAATCGGGGCGCCCGGCCACTGCCTAGCGCCTAGGCGGGGACTAGTCGGACGCCTAGAACGATTTTTAGAACAGAGCTTACAACCATTTTGATACCTTGCCTCCTCGGTATTTTAGATGTTCTCCATTGCAACATACATTGTTGTCATCGGCTCTCATTCGTCGCCGTTGGATTTACACATCGACCGATTTAGAAGCTCGATGCTGATGGAGAGAGAGAGTTGTCACCGCATATGCAGAAATTAGGAGAAGGTGAAGCAATCTCGATCCGAGTTCGTGGTGGTCGAACGACTA